GGAGAACAATCACACAACACGAGGAGAACAATCACACAACATGAGGAGAACAATCACACAACACGAGGAGAACAATCACACAACACGAGGAGAACCGAGGAGAACAGAGGAGCAGGATGAGACGTTCAGGTGCAGCTCTGTGGGTGGGACCTGACACTGAACACAAGAAATGATGGAGTCACTGTCAAGGTAGAAATAATACACACAACCTACAGTCAGTGTTTTCAGAATAAGAACATGTAAAATCCCATTTATTAAAAACGATCTCGATCCAGCAGGATTGAAAATACATAAATATAAGAAGTGACATCCTAATATTGTACAATGTTCCACAATAGTCTATTCTACGGAGGTCAACGCACTGCAAATGAAGAAAACACACGCAAACAGAAAAAACACGCACAAGTTCAGAAAACGACTTCGTCAAAGTGACGACACACGTGCTGCGAAAAGCGACAGCGAACGTTTCCAGGGACACAAAGAAGTGATGAACCTGCTTCAGGGTTTCACTATTTGCTGCACGTTTCTGTGTTTGTGTTTGTGCGTCATCAAACTGATGAAGTTGTTTTATTAATTTCAACATGTTTTTTTTATTTGAACGTGTTTTTCTATTTGCATGTGTTGAGCTCTCTCGGCCTCCGTACTATTTCTTTATCCAGTAAAATGGATTATAGATCGTAGATAAATACTCAGGAGTTCATGTGTTAGTAAACACACACTGGACGCTCAGACACAGAAGAAGTCACAGATATTTTCTTTTCGGGAAAACATTGGATGTAAAGAAATCTTCTCAGCCCTGAGTTTTGTCTGAAGGTTTCCATTTAAAATCTCTCACCTGTTCATAAGGTGAGAAATCTGAGAAGCTCCGGCTGAGAAACACAAACACTTTATCTCTGCACTTCCTGCAATAATTTCATTTTTGGTTAATCTGACAATTAATTGTCGATCTGTCATTGTCGTATTCATTCCAATGAAAAGTAAAACAGATTTACAGTTTATGACAAATTTACGAGAAAGTACAAATAGTTTTAAGTTCAGTTCTCAGAGAAAATAATAGATTGTTCTGCTGCCTGTGGACGAATTCCTCAAAATCTTTTGACCAAAATACAAAAATGCACATTAACTGAAATGTGAATAATTATTAAATGTGGTGATGATGACATCATCACTGCAGTCTGACACCAGCACTGTGTTTAGACATAAATATATTAAATTAAACTCATTATGTTAGTTTGATGCAGTAATACAGTTAATCTTTATTTATAAGTCACCAGAAAGTCAGAGGGTTTCACAAGCTGCTAATTAAAATATATCACATGAGAAACTTCAGATTCGAGATTAGAATTCAAAATCTACAACTTTGGACGTCGACCCGATGATTTATAACGAGTCTGATTTCTAAAATGAAACGAACCTCCATGTTTCCTCGTGTCTTCGTTGCTGCCTCGTCTTCTTTCTCTCTTCACAGAACTTTACTGATGTGCTGAATATCTGTGAGGACGATAATAAACTAGTACAATGTACATCAGTCACAGTATTAAATACTTTTCACAGTATAATGAATCATACTAGTCAGGATGAAGCCAGAGATCATATAAAGAATTTTAATATAAATAAAGTATCAATATAAAGGGGATCGTCAGAGGACTTTTATTTTGAAGTGAGGGGCCGGATGTAGTGTCGGTGTGTCGGGGACTTGACTCAGCTGGAGTCAGAGCTGCAGTGCGGACAAACCGGAGCCGGAGAACCGGACCCGTCACACCGCCTCTCCGCAGCCTCAGCCGGGCCCTGGATCTGATTCTTCCCCGACTCCGAGTACTGGACCCGGTCCCGGAGGAGGAGGGACCGTGAGTCCGCATCATCATCGCCATCCTCCGCATCCTCCTCCTCCAGAGCAGCCGGAGGACCGGAGGAGGACCGGAGGAGGACCCGGACCTGGACCCAGCTCCTGGACCCGTGGAGCCGGACATGAGACCCGGGTTTCTGCCTCACTCTGGTCTCGGTGGTCCTGCAGCGGGTCTGGTCTGAGGCCGGACCCGGGTCTGGTTGATTCTGGGGAGACATCGATGGTTTAACCTGCGGGAGACTGAGGCCCGGACCCCGGACCCCCTCCTGTGGAACAGTGGGTTTTCTGGACCAGGACGTTTTGTGCCGGAATCAAATCCCAGATGAAGATTCCCAAAAGGCGGAAAAGGAGCGGACGGTGCGCCAGGTAGGCCAGACCCGGACCAGAGCCGGACCAGAGCCGGGCCAGATACACAGATCAGACAGTGTGTGTGTGCGTGCGTGCGTGCGTGTGTTTTCATTGTATTGATCCGGATCATAGACGGTTGATCAGAAACCTTTAAACCGGATCAGACCCGGACTGTGTCACGATGTAAATCCGTGTTGACCCGGGTTAGTCCGGATTTATTGATCAGTAGGATGTGATGGTGCGCGTGCGCACAGAGGACCCATGACTGTGCACTGCAGAGAGGAGGGGGGGG